CATCCCAGTACCGGTCCATCTGTCCTCTCCTCCATCCCAGTACCGGTCCATCTGTCCTCTCCTCCATCCCAGTACCGGTCCCACTGTCCTCTCCTCCATCCCAGTACCGGTCCCACTGTCCTCTCCTCCATCCCAGTACCGGTCCCACTGTCCTCTCCTCCATACCAGTATCGGTCCTTATGTTCTCTCCTCTATTCCAGTACACGTCCCTCAGTCCTTTCCTCCATTCCAGTACCGGTCCATCTGTCCTCTCCTCCATCCCAGTACCGGTCCATCTGTCCTCTCCTCCATCCCAGTACACGTTCGTCTGTCCACTCTCTAGCTCCCCTCCCCCACAACAACATAGCCCTCCGCAGTGTCCCTGCACCCCTTCCGCCATTCCTCCCCCACCCCCCTCACACACAGACACTCACCCCAAACCTTCTCTCCTCCGGCTCTACCCGCACAGAGGAACAATAATATCACAACGCACGGAGGAAGTGACGTCACGCCACTCTCTCTACCGGAGCGCTCCACCGCTTCCTTTCGCCCGAAATGCAGCGCGACGGAGAGGCGGGGCCACAAAAAAAGGGGCGCGACTACCCGGCGGAGCTGATAGGTGGAAAGAAGAAAGCCGCAGTTCCGCCAGTGACCACAGGGAACCGCCCTCCTCACGTGACCTTCATAGGGGCACATTAGAATAGAAGGAGCCGCAGTTTCCGCATCCCTCTAGGCAGAGGAAGTGTCCCTCGTCGGCGCCATCTTTCCGGAGACCTTCATTCACTCCTGTGCTTATTTTCATTGTCTTTCTGCCCTACTGTCCTTTTTTTTAGGTGTACAGATCTGTTTAAATAAACAGATCTAAAATACTATGTTGTTTTAGATGTTATATCCAGCCTCCTGTAAATGATGCGATCACTTCATTTTAAAGCTGAAGTTTAATCTGCATCCTTTTCACATATTCAACTATTTTATGTCACCAGTGGTAAGAAAAGAAGCTTATTGTTTACATTGTCATCATAGCAATGATAGAAGGCTCGTTGTAAGGTTTCAATCTGACAAAGAAAGCTGCCCATCGTACTCTGAGAATCCTTTATCATGACATAAAATGTAAAGGGTATCTATAATGAAACACATAACATCAATCTGACTTTCCATAAGTTCTATCCCTCTCCTAATAACCAGATCCATCTAGAAGTTTGTAAACTTACTAAAGATGCCCATAGGATGGACTTCCTCAATGCACTAACACCATTTCACTCAGCCCTGGGAATATGGACCTCCTTGTGTCACCACTCTCACAGAGCCTGCCTTCTAACCTACAACTCCACGTCTGAACAATGTAAACTTATCATTGCTTGCTGGAAGCAATGCATGATGGGATAGGAAGTCTTGAGAAATGGAGATTGCATCACATCAAGCAGCAAGGAAAGAGACACAAAGCACACAGGGAATCCAGGAAGTTGTTGAAAGTGATGGGCAGACAGAAGGCAGCACTCACTACATAAAAGCTTTTGATTGCATTATCAGAAAGAACTCTAGTATGTATTCCTATTACAAAGCTAATGTTATAACAGGATAGTGTATGTTGGGACTTTACATCTCCTTTTATGCTATTAGGTGCTATATTAATAACAAGTGATTACACAAATGTATAAGAGAATAGCAGTTTGATACCAAACACGCCTATGCTTTCATGTACAGAGGGCGGATTGGCCACAATAATTCTTCTAGGTGATATACAGTAGGCATCCGATTTATGTCATGGTTGGTCTTCAACAAATTGTAACTTCATTCCGTTGAACAATATGTTGGTTGTCAGATTATAAAACCATGCCATTTGGAAGTATAGGTATAGATCAAATTCTTGGCTACAGGGGAACGTTCAAATTATAATAATGAATGTGCTTCTCTTATTATAATTCGATACATTTAGAGGGTAACACTTCTTATAGTGCTTGGAGCTGCACAGGGATTGGCGCGAGGTGCTATTTGTCAATAGGGGAGTGTTCAATTAAATATCATAGGTCAATTCATCACTCCTACACCACACCCCTCAGTTCTTTTGATTGGGTATGTGGGGTTTTGCCCAATCACACCCTCTGGAGAACATTTTGGTGGTCCCCGGGCCCCTCTGATGCCTTGCAGGCTGGGCCATCATTGAAGTGGCACGGAGGCTCCGGGGCTGCCTCTCACTGACTCAAGCAGCGGTTGTCACAAGGAATACGCGGCTCTCAGTACAGTGCGGGCTCTGCAGGAGGCGGGGCATCTCATCAGCACCCGGACTGAGCAGGCTGCGGGACACGGATGAAGTGGGGAGAAGCCAGGTAATAGTCACTCAGTGTGGGGGAAGGGAAGGCACAGGGGTGGTTGGGGACAGAGTCATGTGGCGTTGTATTCAAGTC